AAATAAAAAAGGTTTAAATCTGGTTTTGATCTGGTGATTTTCAGTCGTTCGTTTCTCTCGTTTTTCTCTTATTGATTTTGACTCACACATCTGTCTTTTTCTCTCCACGCTCCCCCTCTTCTCCTCCTCCTCCCCCATCACTCCTCTCTCTTCCTCTCTCCTCTCCTCCTCCATCTCCCTCACTCCTTCTCTCTCTCCTCTCTTCTCCTCCTCCATCCCCATCACTCTCCTTCTCTCTCTCTCTCTCCTCCTCCTCCATCCCCATCACTCCTTCTCTCTCTCCTCTCCTCCTCTCCTCCATCCCCATCACTCCTTCTCTCTCTCCTCTTCTCCTCTCCTCCATCCCCATCACTCCTTCTCTCTCTCCTCTTCTCCTCTCCTCCGTCCCCATCACTCCTTCTCTCTCTCTTCTCCTCTCCTCCATCCCCATCACTCCTTCTCTCTCTCTTCTCCTCTCCGTCTTCGTTCTCTCCGTTTCTCTTAAACCTCTGATTGCTTTTGTTCTTCGTCTCTTTACTGTCGTCGTCTAATCAAAGTCCAAATGAATTCTTCAAGCGCCTCACTCCTCCTCCGTCGCTCCCTCCATCACTCCTCCTCCCTCGCTCCATCCCTCCTCCTCCGTCGCTCCCTCGCTCCATCGCTCCCTCCATCGCTCCCTCCATCCCTCCTCCTCCGTCCCTCCCTCGCTCCCTCCCTCCCTCCATCACTGCCTCCGTCGCTCCATCGCTCCCTCCATCGCTCCCTCCATCACTCCTCCTCCGTCGCTCCATCGCTCCCTCCCTCCATCACTCCTCCTCGCTCCATCGCTCCCTCCCTCCATCACTCCCTCCATTGCTCCCTCCATCACTCCTCCTCCGTCGCTCCCTCGCTCCATCGCTCCCTCCCATCACTCCTCCGTCGCTCATCGCTCCCTCCATCGCTCCCTCATCACTCCCCTCCGTCGCTCCATCGCTCCCTCTCCTCCCACTCCTCTTCGCTCCCTCCTCTCCATCCTCCATCGCCTCCTCCATCACTCCTCCTCCTCGCTCCTCCTCGCTCCCTCCATCGCTCCCTCCATCGCTCCCTCCTCCCTCCCTCCCTCCCATCGCTCCATCCTCCTCTCCAATCGCTCCCTCCATCGCTCCCTCCTCCTCCCTCCATCGCTCCCTCCCTCCATCGCTCCATCACTCCCTCCATCACTTCCTCCATCGCTCCCTCCATCACTCCCTCCCTCCGTCACTCCCTCCCTTCATCGCTCCCTCCATCACTCCCTCCATCCCTCCCTCCTCCATCGCTCCCTCCATCGCTCCCTCCCTCGCTCCATCGCTCCCTCCATCGCTCCCTCCCTCCCTCCATCACTACTCCTCCATCGCTCCATCACTCCCTCCATCCCTCGCTCCATCGCTCCCTCGCTCCCTCCCTCCATCACTCCCTCCATCGCTCCCTCCCTCCCTCCATCCTCCTCGCTCCCGCTCCCATCGCTCCATCGCTCCATCCTCCCTCGCTCATCGCTCCATCACTCCCTCCATCGCTCCATCGCTCCCTCGCTCCATCGCTCCATCACTCCCTCCATCACTCCCTCCCTCCGTCACTCCCTCCCTTCATCGCTCCCTCCATCGCTCCCTCCCTCGCTCCATCGCTCCCTCCATCGCTCGCTCCCTCGCTCCATCGCTCCCTCGCTCCATCGCTCCCTCCCTCGCTCCATCGCTCTTTCTCCCTCACTCCTCCCTTTCTCTCTCTCTCTTTGCTTCCTCTTTCTTTTTAATTCTCTTTTCACTTTCTCTGTTGCTCTTTGTCTCTTCATCTGTTTTTTTCTTTCTCCTCTTCTCTCTCTCTCTCCCCTTCCCTTCTTTGCTTTTTCTTTTTCTTTCTTCCTCCCTCTCTCTCTCTTTGTCTTTCTCTCTCCCTCTTCTCTCTTCTTCTCTTCTCTTCTTTCTTTCTTTTTTCTCCATTCTCTCTCTCTCTCTCTCTCTGTCTTTGTCTCTATAATTTTTTCTCCTCTCTCTCTCTCTCTCTTCACTTCCTCCATCAACATTCTCTTTCTTTCTGTTTTTTCTCTTTCCCCTCCTCCCTCTTTGTCTCTTCATCCATTCATTTGATTTCTTTCTCCTCTTCTCGTTCTCTTTCCTTCTCCCTCCCCTTTTCGCTCTTTCTTTCTTCTGTTTTTGTCTCTCTCTCTCTCTCTCTGTTTTCTCTCCCTCTCCTCGCTCTTTCTTTCTGTTTCACTCTCTCTCTTTCCCCTCCCCGCTCTTCATCTCTGTCCACTTTCGCTCTCCTTCTTCTCTCTCTTTCTCTCTCTCTTTCCCCTCCTCTCTCTGTCCTTGTCTCTTTCCATTTTCTTTCTCCTCTTCTCTCTCTCTCTCTCCTTCCCTTTTTCTTTCTTCCCCCTCCCTCTTCTCTTTTTTCTCTCCTCTCTCTTTTGTCTCTTCTCTCTCTCCTCTCTCTTCTTTTTCTCTCCTCTTTTTTCTCTCTTTCTTCTCTTTTTTCTCTCTTCTTTCTTTTTCTCTCTCTCTCTGTCTCT